GGGTGCTCAAGGGATGCAGGGGACATCTCCTGGGAAGGACAGCAGGGTCCCAGCTGGAAGTGTGGGGTGAGGGGTGCCTTCCACTGGAGCTCCAGGAGCCGGGGTGTGCCAGGATTCTCTGCTGGTTGTGTGTCTCAGGGCAGGTGTGTTCCCAGCACCCTCCAGTTCTGGGATTTGTTGTTCCTTCATGATCCCCACACAGCCACCCTCCAACTCCGACTCCTGCCTGAGCGGCTCTCGGGCTGGAGAGGAACTTGCCAAAGCTACTGCCTAAGATTCAACTCCTAACACCTCCCCACCTCACCCCCAAGAGGTGATGTTCAGTGAAGATGCTTGCTCATTGGGGTGGTGGACAGGAAATGGCAGGAATGGTCAGGCACACAGCCCAGGGGTCCCTGCTCCTGTCTTCTACTGCTGAGAACACTGGTGAGGAGCCCCCGGTTCCATGCCAACATGGTGGGGAGGTCATTGGCTCAACACCCCACCATGGCGGCAGGCTCAAGAATGTCTTTATCAGTGGCCAGTTGACTTGGGCCAAAATGGGGGGAGTGAGCCCATGTCAGCATTGGTGGCAGTGAGGAATCCAGGCTGAAATCCAGTTGCCAGGACCTAAGCCCCTGAGCCCTCAAGTGGCAGCACTCCCTGGTATCCATGAGGGCTTCGTGTCAGAGGTGACGCTGACTGTGCTTCTTGGACTGGTCTCCCGAGGCTGCTGTTGTGGGCTTGTTCCCTTCACCCACCCCTCAAATGTGCCTGTTCCCCAGGCCTTGGCACCCTCCCCTCCATCTGCTCTCCTGGGCAAGCTCCCCCACTCTGGAGCTGGGGCTGTGTGCACACATCTCGGGCTCTTTCTCTCACCCAGAGCTCCAGAACCCTGGGCCCATCTGCCTCTCCACCAGAAGACCCCATGGGCACCCAGGTTCAACTTGTGGGCTGCCCCATGCCCACCCCCACCCCTGAGAATGGCAGCAGCAGCCTCCTGCTGCTGAGCTAGAATTAGGAGTCACCCAACGCACAGTCATCGTCCACACCTCCCTCTCACCCCCTGCCAGGGATTGGTCATCCTCTCCTATGGATCTCACCCGCAGAAAGAATCAATGGTGTACCCTCCCACCTGTCCCCACTGGCAGCATCTCTGACTGTGACAGCTGTGCCCCGCCAGCCTTCTCTATCCCTTCTCTTACCACCCCCTAGTCCATCCTCCACACCCACCGTTGCCACCAAGACCTTTCCGAAACAGCCTAGGGTGATGGCACACCCCAGCTCATTGGCCCTTCAATGGCTCCCAAGGACCCTGGAGAAACTACTGACTCCTCTCCTTGGCCCACAATACCCTGCCTGCCCCAACCTTGCATCCGTTGCCTTCCCTTTCACCCTGCAAGCCCGGCCTGTCCTCTTTGAGCAGGATGCTCCATTGTTTTCCTGGAGCACCTCCTCTGAGCAGTCCTCCTTCCTTGTTCCTTTGCTGATAAACCGTAGCCCCCAGCGCCTCCCCAGTTTCCATGGCACCTTGCTGGAATCTGTCTGCCTATAACTGTGTAACTCCTCCCCTAGCTGTTGAGTGTGTTTCAAGGGCACAGGCTGGTCTTTGACCACCTCTGTGTGCTGGCCCGGGTCTACAGAGTTGGCAGCCAGACACATCTGTAGGCGAGAGGGCAGATGGGATGAAGTGAGAGAGATCTAGCCGAGTATGGCACCACTGTCCCCAAGCCCCTGCTCCTGAGCACCTCCACTGCCTCCCCCAGGCGCCTTCCTGCTGCCAGCTTCTCCCCCTCCCCCCAGGCTGCCTCTCCTACCTGCTGCCCTCACTTGGTGGTGGGAAGCCCAGGGGGCCTGGAGGGGCCAGTGCTCCCTGGGGAGCAGGCCCAGCGGGCCGTGGCCCTGGGCCGTGTCCTCCACCACCGTGCAGAGCAGCAGCTCCGATTTCCATGCGGGTCTTAGTGCTTCAGTGAAAGCCGGCATGGGAAGTTGCTAATAATGGCACTAAAATAAAATATGCTACATCTGTTATGGGTAGCAGAACAAAATTAGCTGCTCACACCTCTGACATCCAAGATGTCTTAACTTAAAATACTCCTTGGCTTACTTTACATCATTTACTGATTATATTTAAAAGAAATACAATTTTGCAATTACTGTTCTTTCCAGTGTGATATCTATGCATCATTTTCCTTTTATGTTTATATATTTCTCCTTCATTAGTGCAGTCTGAAGGGTGATTAGGATTCTTCAAACATTTTACAGAGGTTAAACGTTGATTAAGATTTAATTATTACTGTAAATAGCTTGGAATGACATATGGTGCAAAAGCCTGACATATGTGCATTTGAATAAATGAAGTGCTATTTCCCAGGATGCCTCAGTAGCTGTTTAACAGCTTTCCCGAAGGGTTATGTTACACCTCATGGTAAGATTGCTGGGATGTTATATTTTGTTGGTTTTTGCAGCTGAAAGCTAAGAACAGTTTTCCAGTTTTTTAAAAACATTGAATATTTTAAATACCTAAATTGTTTTGCACAAATTTTTGCTAATTTGTCTAACTAGGTTAAACATTTTCAAAAGCATTTAGATTTTTAAGCGTGGGCGCTGTGCATTGTGTCAGGGGGAGCATGGGGACTCGGGGAGCTGGCGGGATACAGGGGACTCTGGGTGCAGGGGACTTGGGGGCTGGGAGGGCTAGAGAGTGAGGAGGTGGTTTGAGGGGAAGGGGTGGGGAAGAGACCCGGGCCCCAGGCCTACTCCTGTCTGTTTAGCTATCTCAAGACACCAGAACCAGACACTATGTGGGGAGAGTTCCCTTTTTCCAAGAACCCCACCAAGCCCACCAGCTCCAGTCCCCAGCAAGCAGCATGCTGTCTAAACTCCGACACTCACAGCCCCATCTTGACTGAGCTCTGCAAAGGCCAGGCCTGTCTGTGCCACCTTCTGCCCGCTTCCCAAGAGTGGCTATGTCTTGGCATATGGCAGGTGCCCAAGACCAAGTTCAACTGAGCTAAATAACAAAGGTTTCAAGGACTCTGTATGTCAGGCCTTCTCTCTGATGGATCCCTCCAACTGGCCCCTTTGGGTGGGTGCTCAGGCATCCCTGAGGGCTTACTCCCCACATCCGAAAGCCATCACTCGAGCCACTGGGACATCTCCAGGGCTCAGGCTAGGGACCCTGGCCTTATGCCTGACACCTTTTTTCTTCCCATCCAATTATTCAGCACTTAGGGAGTGCCTGCTGTGGACCAGCACTGTACCAGGTTCTGGGGATGCAGGGAGCATGCTCTGTGTATTTGCTGCCTCCAAAGGCTGTGATCTAATATTCCAATATAGAGAGATGAAGGACAAAGGAACTGTGGCCTAAACCTGCAGTGGCCAGCTGGGGCAACGCCTAGCCTCCAAGCAGACATGAAAGCTGAGCCGAAGACAGCCGCATAGGGTGCAAATGGAGGGTGACTCTAGCAAAGGAGACATCTCAGGAAGACTTCAGAGGGTCCAAAGGAGCAGCCAAGTGAACCCAAGGACACTAGTCAGGGGTGTCCCCTGCTTGCAGCAGAAGGAAAGAGTGACAAGTGATAGTCAGGGACTAGGGGTTCCAAGCTGGACTTGGTCTCTGTTGGCAGTGGGAAGCCCTGAACCGGGTAATGGAGGGGTGTGGACAGGCTCATGGGTGAGGGGCCCAGCACTGGCTATGGTAGGGGACAGATTGACTATCGGGATGAGAACCTATGGGGTGGGGGAGGGTGGGCAGCAGGAGGCAGGGAGGCCCCAGGGTCTCAGGCCAGAGAAGTACCTTTAGGGTCATTCCTGGAAGGCCTGGGGAGATGAGGGATTTGGTTCCATTTTCAGATGGTTGAGTACAAGGATTGGATAAGCAGTTACAGTTAATCCTAGCAGGTCATCAGCAGTGATCGGAGGCTTAAGGGAGAAAGGTGGTTGGACTTGCTTCAGGTTAAGGAATCACCCATGGGGATCTGGTCACACTGGGCCCCAGGGAATCTCAGAGGCATCCAGGGGATGCTGTGGGGTGGGGGTGGCCAAGACCGTAGACAGTTCCTTGGTGGCGTGTATGGTGAGAGCAGAAGCCAGATTTGCTGCAGTGGGAGGTGAGGAGGCCGATGGTTCTGTAAAGGAACATGGGCCTGGGGAGGAAAGAGCGTGACAGGCGTAGAGGAACATTGAGGCTTTCTCACACGTGTAGGGCTGTGCTGTGAAGGAGAGAAGCCATGCCCACATGGGCTCCTGCAGGGGGCACAGGGGACCAGGGCCAGGTGGGTATCTGCCTCTAGAGGGGAGGGTAACTGGTGCTGCGCAGATGCAGGTCTGTTGTAGGTTGGAGGAGTGGAAGCCAGGGTTGAAGGGGGAACTCCTCTGATGCCTTCATCCTGGCTGAGGATGAGTGGGGAACTGAGGGAAACCTGGAAATTTGTCAGGTGACTTAAACAGCATGAGGGAGCTGGCTGCGGGGAGGGGCCGAAGTGAGGGGTAGATAATTTGGTGTCCAAGGAGGGTCAGATTCAGGTGTGGAGATGCTCTCACTGTCCATCGTGGAAGAACCCTTGGGCTGGGTGTGGCTGAAGTGACAGTTACAGGAGGCTGGGTTGGAGGGGGAGGTCTGAAATCTGGGGCCTCCAATCTGAGAGGTCCTGAGGCAAACAGGAGCAAGAGTGGATGGGATGCTGGAAGCGTAGGGTACTGCAGAATCCAAGGTGACGTGGATGCAAGGAGTCTGGACGGTGTGCAAGCCCAGGGAGTGACCCAGGGTGAGGGTGTCTACAGGGCAGGGGATAAGGTGCTAGGAAAAGTGGGGTTTCTGGAGGCCAGCATGTGGGATGGTCAGTCACAGGAACACACTGTCCTGAACAAGAAGGTGTGCATGAGCCCTAAGATGGGAAGTCTAAGGGGGCAGGGGGCAAGGTGGAGTTGTGGGCCCTAGAGCAGTCCCAGCTGCTGTTCCCTGCCTCCACTTGACCTCTTGCCACTTCCCACCACTTCTGTCTGTTCTCTCTCCTCAGATTGAGACATCCCAACTAGAGCCCGAGATTGCCCGTGCCACGAGCAGCCAGACGGTGGTGTACAACAAGGGGCTGTGAGGGCTGCCTGCTGGCCTGGGAACCCAGTGCTGTCTAGGCTGGGGAGGTGGGCACCACAACTACAGGGAGGGCCCTGGGCTCCTGGGGGTGCAACCCATGTGCAGCGGTAAGAAGACTAATCCATTCACATACTAACTTAGGGGAAGGGAATTCTGTATAGAGAATCAAGCGCATTTCTGGGCCTTATGTGGGGTTGTGAAAACTCCACTCAACACAATTATCTGTGAAGTTGAGAAATGATTGTATGCCATAGGGTAGGATTAGGATCCTTTTACACCTTGGTTTCTCTTTTTATTTTTCTTTTGTATCAGACTCAAGTCTGAGCCTCAGTTGCAGCTGACCGGAAGTGGCAGGTGGTGGGACCTAGTAGCTGGATTGGTCTGCTGGAGTGGTCTGGTGGATGAGGATATGACAATGACTGGGCCAGGTAGCTCTCTGTGGGGGAGCGGGCAGAGAAATGAGGTGGTCTGCACCCCACACAGGAGGGACTAACCATAGCTAAGGTCCTCAGGAAGTGTTCCAGGGAACCAAGGAGCATTGGAGGCTTCTGGAAGATTCCATGGGCAGTTGACACTGCACATGGCCAGCCCCCACACCTGCCACTACTGCACAACAAGTTCCTTTGGGTGAAGTCTGATGACAGTGGGACTGGCTGGGTTCACCCTCCTTAGAGAGCTCTGAAATACCCCTGAGAGGGCCCCAGCTCTGGGCAGGGTGCTCCCAGGAAGGAATGGTGTTTGGGATGACCTGAGGACCTGCACTAGCTTCTGTAGGAAAATCCTTCTAGGCACCTGGCTGATGGAGTCTGGGCCTTGGGGCTGAGACTACCTGCCACATTCCACCCCTGCCTGAGAAAGAGGGTCTCAGGCTAGACAGTGCAAAGCTGGACCCCTGGGAACCCAAGAGACATCACCCACCCCATCTAGCAGACTGTATGGCCTCGGACGAGTCTGCTCCTCCTTGGATCTTCCACCCTGTCTGGAACCAGTGACCTGGATCAGGGGGTTCCTTACAGCTCCTGCAGCTGGACCTCGCCTTGCCCTGTCCCGCCCGAATGCTAGCCATCCCAGCATGCCTTCAGGATGGACATTGGACTGGGAAAAGGAAAGGCCCCTAAACCTTGTATGACCCCCACATCCCATGAGAACTTGACTTTCACTAAACACTATCGTCTGGAAGCAAAGGTGGCTGGGCCACACCTGCATGCTGCCTGTGACCCCTGCAGGTCCGGAGGCCTCTGCTACAGGCCAGGAAGGAGGGAAGCAGGGGCCGCAGGGTTAGGGTGGGGGGTGGTAAGCAGGGCGAGCCTCATCTAAAAGGCACAATGAAGGGGAGGCATCGGCTTCAGTGTACTCCCTGCCTGACTTCAGCTGGATCATGTAGCCTTCGGAGTACAGGCCCTGGGCCTCTCCACCCTATGATTTCTCTGTGAGGAGGACATGAGCTGGAGGTGAGCCTGTGCTGGGTGGGAGGGCATGGCCATGGCACCTGTCAGCACCTCAAGGCCGGAGGGAGTTGTAAAATGGGTTGGCGGTGGTATTGGCTTTGTGTACCTGCTGGAGCCCTGGAACCTTTGTCTCTCAGCCAGCCCCTGTGCCCGCTAGTGGGCCCTGCAGTGTGTTAGCGTACAAGGCCCCTTCTCAGTGAAAAGGGGAGAGAGCATTGACTGGCATGGAGGACAAAGCAGCAGGGTTGGGGGCTATAGCATAGGTGGGCCAGCTCATTTTGAGCCAGTCTTGCCGTACCATGGTGTGCCCATGACTGCAGGACTATGTAGCCCTCCAGATGGGTCTGAGTCCCCCATGGCAAAGCTTGCTTCAGGCTCACCCTGCCCTCACCTGTCATAGGATCTTGTTCTTGTGCACTTTATCTTGGGACCAAAACTTTCCACCCTATACTACCCTGCCTCACCGAGAGGCCTGGCAGAGATGGGGCCTGTCTAGCTCTCCTTCTTTGCTGGCTGCTCCGGCCCCAGGCCCACCCCTGCCTCGCCCATGTGGTCACAGCATCTCATAATCCATTTGCTTTGGTTCTAGTCACTTTTCCTCAGGTTCCCAAATGCAATTCCAGTTGAGCTAAGGGGGCAGCTCTATGGGACAGTCAGGGGATGCAATGGCAAGCAGTCATGATAGCTCTGAGGTGGTGGTGACACAGGGACTGTTGGCTTTGGAAGATCTCATGAAGGGGAATTTTTTGCCAACCTCCATGCCAGCTCTTTGCAGGCTAGAGGAGAGAGGTCTAGGGGCAGGTTGGCTCATGGGAAGAGAGCAGGGCCTGGACCCACAATCTGGGGATACTGGTCTGGCTGGGCCGGAGTCCAGCACATTCCTACAGCTTGTTCTCCCTCCAGCTTTGGAGTCCCTGCCTGAGCATCCTCTGGGACACTGGAAACATTCCCTTAGCCTCCAGATGCCTTTCCCCAACTCCTATAAGGCCATCAGAGGTGCAGGACCAGAAAACCATGGTGTCCAGGTGGTCACCAGCCTCTTTCCACTTCCCGAGTTGCTGATTGGGAGACAGCTTCCTGAGCTCTTCTGGCCTGGGAGCAGGGAGAGGACCCGGAGAAGGGCCAATGGACAGAGCCACAGTGGTCCTGCAACCTGGATCTGATGGGTAGAAGTGAGGCCCCAGTGCACAGGCCTCAGCCACAGACGGGGACTTGCGACTTTTTAACCTTCTCAGAAAATCTCTCCATCAATGTGATCTATGTACTACTAATGAACTGTGGACAATAAATGATGGATTGAAAGCACCAAGTGTGGCTTTGTCTCTTGGGAGTGGGAGGCTACAGAGGGCTGTCTGAGGGCTTGGTGGGAAAAGCAGGTATAGGTTGGGTCTGGCCAGAGGAAGGGGGAGCAAGGCAGATGAGACCTAGTGAGGGGCAGGAAGCTGGACAGAGGGAGGTCCACTATCCTGAGTAGCCATGAGTGCTCATAGGAAACCTTTTGTGAATCAGGAATTGTGGCAGGTTCCATTGTGGTTTATTTCCTCTGGGCCTAAACAGTAGGAGGGACTATTGCTGACTGCCTGCCCAGGCTTTGGTGTGCAGGGAGAATTTGCATGAGGTAAAAAGGTGTTGTCTGCAGCATGGGTGGTATCAGCCCTGGGAATGCTGCTGCATCCCAGATCTTTTTTCATGGCCCCTACAGTCCCTGGACCTAACCAACTCTTGATTGTCCTGGCTGCTTCTCTTTTCACTAGGCCCTGGAGTTCTGGAGGGAAGGAGGTAGGTGTGGTCTTTTTCTCTGGCCCCTCTGAGCATCTCCCATCCCTGTGGAAGCCCATCTAGCAGAGAATAGCCACCATGGTTGGGTTGGGCTCAGCCAGGCCCTTTGTACACCTGTTCACTGATGTTTGCTGAGCGACTGCCCCATGCCAGGTACTTTGCTAGCTGAGCCCCAGTGTCCTTCCCTGCAGAATGTCAACCACAGCGTCCTCACTGGCCTGCTGCAGGGATGGGGACGGTACCCAGGTCCTTTCTCTCTCCTCCCAGGTGTGCATGTGTGGAGGGGGGGAGGTGTGTGGAGGACTGCCCTGGGAGGGTGGGAGCAGGGGGTGGGGTGGGGGAGGGGTCTGCTCTCATCTTAGGGCTTCTGGTCTCTGGGGAATGTCTTTGCTTGAGAGCCCCACAACCCACAGCCCCCATCCGGGCGGAAATCCTTGATTCTCAGGACAGACACAAATCCCTCCTGGGAGCTGTTTGTTGTTTTTAGCCGGTTTGGGGGCTCAGCTCCTACCCAGCCCAGAGATCATTAACGCTTTAGGAATGTGGCCTCCCCTGCCCCCTAGCCCCACCACCTGTCCCTTGCGGCCTCCCTTCTCTTCATCAGGGACAGTGCCAGGAAGCTCTTGGGGGACAGCAGCACTGAGTGACTCTTCCCCAGGCCCCAGGGTCTGGCCCCATCCATTGCTTGGGAGCTGCTGCAGTTCCAGCCATCTCACCCACCCTCAGCTACTAATGAGCACCCCCACCAGCAGACAGGAACATCACAGCCATTTCCCTCCAGGCCTACTCTTTCCTGAAGGACCAGTTATCTCTCCAGGCAGAGACTAAAAGGTGTTCGTGCTCCATCCCGCTCAACAAGGCACCTGCTGGCAGCCTTGTCTAAAGCCAAAGCCTGCCTCCCCCCAACTCTACTCACTGACAAGGATACCCAACCACAGTAAAAACTAGGGACTTGGAGTGGGCACATGGTCTAGCAGTTAACTTGCTGCTTCAGGGCACCCATATCCCATGTCAGAGTACTTAGTTTGAGTCCTAATTACACCATTCTGAACCAGCCTCCTACTATTAGCCTCCCATGGAAGTGGCTCATGATGGCCCAAGTACTTAAAGGCCCTATCACCCGTGGGGAGCCTTGGGATGAGTTCCATGCTCCTGGTTTTGACCTGGTCCAACCCTAGCTGTTGCAGACATTTGAGGAGTGAACCAACAGATGGGAGATATCTCTCCCCTTTTCTAATTAATTAATTAATTAAAGAAAATGTTTGAAGACTGAGGTTTCACTGCAGTTTCAAGGGCCTTAAGGAGGGTGATAAGTGGGAAAGAAGAGTATGGAAGGGGAAAGGAAGAGGTGGGCAGAATGACACCAGGAAAGTCCTGGGAGGAAGTGAGGGGCCACTTGGCCTTGCTGCTTCTCCTCCTGTGTAGGTAAGGCAGGGGATGAAGCAGTGAGACCCTGGGTAAGCGGAGAGCAGGTCAGTGACAGCGGCCAGCAGAACCCTGGCGAGTGAGTGGGCCAACTGATTCAGGCTGCGGACAGCTGGCGCCCCCTGTGGCTGGAAGTAGAATTCATCTGACTACAGAGTGGACCCAGGTGAGAGAGTTGTAGACCACAGTCATGGTGGAAAAGATGGGGAGAGGGGGAAAAGGGAAAGGGGAGGAAGTTCAGGACTATGCAGCTCTCTGTGATCCAGTGTGGAGAGTGTGACAGAGCAGCCTCCGCGATGACCCCAGGACCCCAGCTGGAGCACGGATCTGCTGGAAGGTGATTCATTCGCTTTACAAGTAAGGTAGTGGCAAGGTATGGGCAGTTGTTAGGGTGGGCTTGCTTGCAGGCAAGCAGACACTGGATTATGTCCACCTGCGTGCCATCCATTTGCAGTTGGGGACAGTGGGTAACCAGACCTGGAGCAGGCGCATGCTGGACCCCACCTCTGAAGTCTGGGCAGACACGAGGCAGCTAAGGAAGCTCAGCTGGCCCCAGCAGAGGTTGCCATGGGCTGGGCTGTGTTTTCCCAAAGCTGAAGTTGCAACCCCCAGGGTGTGAGTGTGACTGCATTTGGAGCCAGGTCCTTTAAATAGCTGATTATAGGATGGCGTTGCAGTGCAATGGGTGAACTCACTACGCCAGCATCTCATATCATAGCACTGAATCAGTCCTGGGTGCTCCACTTCCAATCCAGATCCCTGCTAATGCTCTTGGGCTTCTGTGGAAAACCTGGATGGAGTTACGGGGGGGGGTGAGGGGAAGGGTGTGAACCTGTGAGCTCTGGGACAGGTGAAACTCTAGTCCTGGGGATCCTGCTGGGCCAGGAGAGAAAGGCAAGTGGGGAGGATGGGTTGGGCACAGTTGCTCCCTGTGTCCCCTGCACCATGTGCTTGCTCTTGGCCCAGAGGCTGCTGTCTGGCTTCTACCACTGGGTGCGCCAGCAGGAAGCTGGAGGCGTGGACAAGTGTGAGTCAAGGATTTAGCTGAAAAATGGCGGTGGGAAGAGGTTTGGATGTGGGGAGGGTGTTTTTCTGAGATCTCTCCTATGGGGCGTGAGGCTGGACATGAAGGGCACCAACCCACATGTCTGCCTGATGCATGCATGGACTCAACTCCTAGAGGAGAAGGTAGCAGGTTGAAGCAGGCTTGTGTTGCTGCCAGCAGGTGCAGAGGACCTCATGCTGATGGAATGAGCTGGAGTGGGGCATGGGCGGGGGAGCGGTGCTGGGAGAGAACATTTGCAGCCCAGTAAGAAAGAACATGAGAATCTGCTGTGGAGGAAAGGGCCACTTCTGCCCTGGCAAGCCCTGAGGGCGGGCAGTGTGAGGATGAGAGGATGGAGCATGGGGTGGGCTACCCACACAGACCTCAAGATCTTGGAGGTACAGGAAGAACACAGCTTGTAGAAATAGTCTTGACAACTGAAGGGCCCGCGTGAGCCTCCAGCCACACACTGCATGTGTTCACCACACTTGGGCACCCTCACAGCCACCCCCTGCGGTCACGCACCCACCCACAGCCCTCCCAGGCACTCCCCACACCCTCACACACGCCCCAGACGGCAGATGGGGAGCTCGGGTAATTGGTTAGACCTGTTCCCCATGTCTGGCTCTGCCTTGGCAGCTTCGGCTGACAGGAAAGCTGGCGGGCCTGTACCGTGCAGCCTGCTGGCCTCCCCGCCCCTCTCCTCCCCCTGCATGGCTGCCCCAGGGCAGAGGTTCCTCCAGAAGAGACCTGTGGGGCCCTGTGGACTCCTGCCTGGGCAGAGCCCAGTTCACCTGCCATTCATACCTTCTGGGATGCAATCACAGCACCTGTGAGGAGAAGGTGGCACCAAGAAGCAGATATGGTAATAGTACCTGCCATGCCACTGCCACTGCCATGAGAACCAAAAGCCCAGAAAGTTCTATGGATGAGAGGGTATGTGAAGATGGGGCCCTGAAGGGAAGGCTGGTGATATGGCTGTGGGAAATCAGGGCTCCCTGTGCTGCCTGCACTACAGCTGCCAGGAATTGGTGAATCTTGCAGGTACTCACAATGGCACAGTCCCTGTGAGTCTGCAGGGCAGGCCACAGCCCAGCTATGGGGCACATCAGCTGAGCATGGCTCATGGCAGCTGGGGCTGGACAGTCTGGGGCCTGGACGCCACTCCCGCTGAGGCCATCTCACAAGTAGGCAGTGTCCACCCTGCTGGCCCTGAGCAGGACACTGCTCTGCAGGTGGGAGGAGCCGCGGGGGAAGGAAGGGAGCTGCAGTCCTTGTCGTCTTCTCCCCTTCTCGGCTACATCTGCGTCTCTTCGAGAGAGACTTTGGTTTGTTCCCTGGAGAGGACCCAAAAACTCCCAAATTAGCAAACCTGGCAAGCCCGCCGCTCAGAAAATAGTTCATCCTGATTCCATGTTTTTCAGGCTCACAGAAGCCTTTATTAATGAAGTCACAACACCAATATTTACCGTCTGCGGGGAGAGGCACAACATGGGGGATGGATGGGACTGACGCAGGGACTCCCCAGCCTACCCCTAGCAGGCCTGGGCCAGGAAGATTGGCAGGTTCCCTTGGGTCCCTTACAGCAATTTCCTCCGGATGGCAGAGTTGGCCCCCTCTCTCACCAAAGAGGCAGCACCTTGAGAGGGCCCGCTCATGCTTCCTATCAAAGAATGTCTCTTCTCAGCCGAGCCACTTGTGCGTGCTTGCTCCCCAGAGTGCAAGTCCCCAGGAGGTTTTAACCTAGATTCATCCTGGTTAGGACTTTAAGATGTGCTGGTTGAATTCCTAGGTGAAGGCTGGTGGGATGGGAGCGGGGAGAGAAACACAGCCCTTTGGTTTGTAGCACTGACTGGACAAGCGTGGGGCAGGTACAGAGTGGGGAGAGATGCTGATGTTTCCCATGGGACCTGGGACTGTGTACTTAGCAGGAGGATCCTGCATGTGCTTGGATCCCTGATAGCACACTGGGCCTCTGACACCTTTCCAATGAGTGCAGCATCGATGTAGCACCTACCGTGTGCCCACCCGAGATTCTAGCTGGGAAGGACAGCACAAGCAAAGGCTCCATGCAGGGAAAGCCTGGAGACACTCAGGAACAGGGAAGGGATAAAAGGAGAGACCATGAGTGTGGGGAAGAAAGAAATGGGTAGACCAGATGAGGAGGAGATGCCCCAGTCCCACTCCGGTGTGAGAAGAGCTGTAGCCTAGAGTACCCTTTTAAGCGATTTTCACCCTTGACCTTCCCAGAAGCCTCATTTTGCTGCCAATCCCTCCAAAGGGGGCTCCAGGCTGGGCCAGGGCTGGGAGAGCTAAAGTTGCTGCACTGGTGTGGCTGGGAAACTTGTCTAGACAGGAATGGATGGGCTTGGAGAGGAGAGAAATCTTGGAAGACAGCGTGCATGGCTGATGCTGTTGGCCCAGGTGAATAAACCTGGGGCAGAATGGTGGAGAGTGCAGCTGCAGGTGTTTTAGAGGGCCTCCGGTGAAAACTCAGCAGGTCTGCAGTTCAGCAGAGGTCGAGCAGAGACATAGATTAGGGAGGAGAAGCGCTGGATGTGGATGTGACCCCCCCCCCCCCAGAGCAGGGACATATGGGGCAAGGAACGAGCACACGTTGGACAAGGGTGAGGCATGGAAGAACTCGAGGGAGCTGAGAGAGGCTGGAGGAGACGTCAGAGGTACTGACATGAGGGACAGAGGAGGGCATCCAAGAGGGCTTGGCCATCAGGCCAGGGAGCAGGGAACCCGGATGGGAGGCAGTTTGGTCACACAGAAGTGACCAGAGGCTGGTGACTGCATGATTAACTGTGGCATCAGCAAAGATTGGAGCAGAGGGCTTGAGTAGGGGGGCACATGGAAGGGAGGTGCAGACTGATCAGGACGCCACAAGGGAACACAGGTTTGGCTTTTCCAGTAGGAAGGAATCCTTGATATGACGAGCAGGCAAAACAAATGGACAAACCCAAGGGAGGTGAGCAGATGGCTGGGTGAGTCCTGGCGTGCCACTCTTTCCTGGGCTGGGGGAATCCCATCTCTGAAGCTGTAACCTGTCTAGGGTTTCTCTGAACACAAGTGAGCATCCTGGGCGGCAACCCCAAAACTCTCTTCCTCTGAATTCTTCTCAATTGCAGAGGCCACAGAATCTCTAAGTGTGGTTCTGTATGTTTCCTGAAGCTCTCTCCCTTTCTCTCTGAACCACTGGCCTGATTCCCACCCCTCAGGCAGTCTGCAAAGACCTGATCTGGTGGCTTTCTCTAGGTCTGCTGTCTGGCTTTCTCTAGGTCTGCTGTCTGCTTTCTGTCTGGGGAGCTGGAGCTAGAAACCAGGGTCTATCCACAATGTAGAGAGGACACAACAAGTTAATCTTGAATTCCAGTCCCACCCAGCACCTCCCCCAGGCTCTAAGCCCTGAACCTGCTTGCTCCACCAGCAGACCCGCCCCCCCCAGCCCAGGGTGGGAGGTCCAGAATGGGAAACCATCACTGTGGAGTCACAGGCTCGAGGGTTGGAGTGAATGCCTGTGGCAACAAGAGAGAGATTTTATTATTCCCATAGGGAAGGGAGGTACAGGAGAACCACTAGGAACTACAATGGGCCTGGAAAATAAATTAAACAGAAGCGCATAGAAACAAAAACGAGGTGAGTGGAATGGAGAGCCGCTGGGAGGCTGTGGTGAGGGCGGCCCGCCCAGGGAGACGGCGGGCAGGCTCTCCACACCCAGAGGGCCAAAGGCTCCCAGGCTTCAGCCAGCCCGCTTCTTGTCCCACTGTCAGTGGTGGCCCCAGGTTCCAAGCCTTGTGGGGCCGAGACGCGAGGCCTCCCTGCAGCCTGGCCAGGGAGTGGCCAGCTTGGGCCCCAGGGGCTTGGCCAGCAGCAAGCAGCACCCTGCCTTCATGGGTTCATGGTGGCCCCCTAGTCATTAGAGGTGACATCGATGTCCTCCCCGTTGGCCTGCTTCGTGGCGATGCGCCACCGGTTGATGTGATGGGAGCCCTTCTTCTTCTGCTCCGACTCGGGCCCTTCCTCCTCCAGCTTCTGCCGTTTGTACTTTGTCCTCCGGTTCTGGAACCACACCTTCACCTGGGCCGGGGAGGGAGGGGCACAGGTGAGAACATCAGGGGGCCTCCCACCAGGGCTCTCAGCACTGCAGCCAGGAGTCAGTAATGGGAAACAGGCTACACAGGGCCAGGCCTCTCATGACTAGCCTACCAGAGGCAGAATCAGTGGGGTTTACAGAGACAGAGAGGAAGGTGGCTGCTGGGTCGCATTTAGTGGAGAGAAGGGGTCTTGGAGCGGCCAAGCAAGGCAGGAGGCAAGGAGCACAGGCTCAGAATCCAGCAGCTTTGGCTTCCACTTGTTTCTAGGGGAGATGGAATGATGGCTTGCTCACAGCTGAAGGCAAGAATGGGTAGTGCGACAAGATATGAGAAGCTGTTGCATGGGCTCAGGCAGCACAAGAGGACCCACAAGGCAGAGAGGACTTGGCCTCGTGGCCAGGGGTGTGATACCCACACAAGGAGCAGCACCTGTAGGGGGCAAATGTGCTCTCTGTCCGCCCTTTATCAGGGACCCTCACTTGGCACCCGCATGTGTGTAGTTCCCCATATGATGAGGAACTGGGCAGAGGAAATCTTGATCCTTTGGGCACCAGCTCCATCTGGAACCCACCAGTAAACTGGGCCTCGCCCTCCTCCAACACACAGGCCTGGAAGGAGGGATAACTGCCACCTACCCCTGCAGCCCAACCAGGTCTGGGAGCAGGTCCCACAAAAAGCAGCTACGAGGAATGCCAGGACACAGAACACAATGGATACCCACCCTCCTGCCTCAGGTAGTGAGAGCCCTGGCAAGGGGAGAGGTTGGGCTAAGAGACAGAGCAAGCCTCCTCTATGATGTGGGGTGCACGGAGGGGAGGAGAGGGAAAAAGCTTTAGGATGCTAAACCTAGCTCCTGCAGGAAGCCTCCCTCATTCCCATCCCGCCTCATCCCACCCTTGCCCTTCCTCTTTCAGGGCACAACCTTCACCACCCTCTTGAGCATGAGCTTGGAGGGTCACCCCAGTTCCCCACATGGCCTCAGGCTTCTTTATGACCCTTGCAGAGCAGGGCAAGGCAGGAAGAAGCCTGGGCACCAACTGTAGCCAAGTCTCACCCATTCTGGGCATTAAGACTCTTATCGTTAGGAACAACAATCTGAGGATACTTGCTCTGAGGGATGTGGCAGGGGCAGGGGGAGAGGATGTGCAGTTTCTGGAAATGCCTGCTCACTCTGTTCAAAGCTGCCACCAGCTGCAGCCGTGTCCTGTGGGCGGCAGGGTCTGTGTGTGCAGTGGGGCAGGCAAGCACCTTGGATTGGCTGCAGCAGTGATGGCTGAGGGGAGATCTGCGAACCCTGGCTAGGACTGAGGGCAGTTCTCAGAAAGACCCTTCAGGCCAATCCCTACTCCCTGAAACTGTAGGACAAGTCCAGCGGAGGTTTTAAAACTGCCATGGCAGCCTTAGCAGGTGCGGCATCCAGGCCCTGGGACTCATGCCTAGGATGTGCCACCTCCTTCCTGTCTCTGTTCCATGGAACCCACACACATGCCAGGCTCTCTCCCTCACAACTGCCTGGCCAGGGTTCCCAGTGGGCCATCTGGCCTACCCTTGACTTGAGAACACCATGGAGAGGATGGGGTAGCCAGTGCTGAGTGCTCAGACATCAGCCTGCAGGGGACAGGAAGTTTGACCCAGGAAGCGGGTGCTCAGCCTGGATGGATGGGGTGAAGACCTTTCCCCCTCGTAGAGGACTGGATTCAAACCTCTAGCCTGTATGTCTCACCTGAGAGTGGCAGATCTATTGATACAAGGCTCCTGGACTCTACACACACCTATGCTTGGACACAGGATGGTGGTTTTCAGCACAACCACTTGGTAGCCAGACTGGTCCCTGCCCCGCAATACCAAGTCTGCTTGACTATGCCAGTCAGTGGGTGGGTGAGCTCACCCTGCCTCCTGTGCGTGGCTTAGGGCTCACTTGTGGGACTGACATCCTAAGATGCCAAAGTGGGCAGGCAGAGGGTACTCACCAGGTAGTGAGTGGACAGCGCCAGGGTCAGAGAGAGCCCCTTTGCACCCCTTTCTCCCTCCCATACAGCCTTTCAGGTCTCCCTTCAGGAAGGAGACTATAGCCCCTTGGGATGCTACACTGGCACAAAGGGCCAGGGAAGGAAGACATCCATGCTGGATCTTCAGATCAGTGCAGCTTTTTGGCAGCCCCAAGTGAAAGGTGATTTTCAATGTTTTCTTCTTGAGCAATACTTGAGTCAGGGCCAGCACTGCAATGCATTAGATTAAGGCACTGATATCCCTTATTGGAGTACTGGTTTGAGTCCTGGCTGTTCCACTTCCAATCCAGCTTCCTGCTAATGCACCTGGGAAAGTAGTGGAAGATGGTCCAAGTATTTGGGACCCTGCCACACGTGTGGGAGACTCAGATAGAGCTCTGGACTCCTGGCTTTGACCTGGCCATTATGTGGCAGCCATTTGGGGAGTGAATCAGCTGATAGAAAGCAACTGTCTTTGTTTCTTTGTCACTCTGCCTTTCAAATAAATACTAAAGAAAAAAATTGAAAGGAACCTAGAACCCCCTTGCAAGGCAGCCTGGCTATCTTCTGGGGAATAGCCATGGGCGAAGTGTCCAGATGCTGTTTACAAGGACTGTAATAACAAGGCGGGGGATGGGGGGATGCTTATGACTTAATAATATTAGTGGAGAAGTCAGCACACACAGTGGTGGCACAGTGTGATCACAACTGCAGAACAAAACCTATGCATGGGGAAAAAAGACTAGAAGGAAATATACCTAAAGTAGAGATGACTTATTTCTACTTATCTAAATTTTCCTGAATGCTGATAATAATGACTTTACATTTTGGATAAAGTAACTAGTGTTTGCATGTCATAGGAGATGAGAGTGACAACCATGACCTCCCTAGCTCAGCTGGGTAAGTCTGGGGTCATCCCAGAGCCACCTTCTGGAAGTTAGAGGTCTTAGAAGCAGCTCACACGGTGTGGCCTGCAGTGGCACAGCGGCAGCCTGAGGAGGCTGTGCTCCTGACTGGCAGTCTCCAACAGCCCACTCATCTCTCTCAGCCCCCAAAGTACACTGGGAATCTTGGCTGGAGAATCCCTTTTCCCAACTCCAACTCCTCTGGGTTTAGGGAAAGGATCCTTGTGGTCTCCCAAGACCCCACCTCTCTGAGCATCTGTGTTTCAGAGATCACCTATATCCTTCCAAGACTCTCCCCTTGGGCCTGTGTTTACCCTGTCTTCACGGAACACTCCCACAGTCTCCAGATCCTGCTTGGCTGTCCCCTGGGGGACCTGCCTTGTGGCCATCTGGGCTTCCTGAATACTTTATCTCAGGTACAATGGCCCCAAGTGTACCCTCATTTATTGGCTCATATCTGTGTCTCCTCAACAGACTACAAGAATCTGGAGAACCAAAGCGGCCTGTGCTCGCTGGCTTTGGATTCCCGATGCCAGCCCAGAGGACCTGTTCTCTGCAGGATTATTCTGCTGGGCAGAGGTGAAGCGATCTAGCCCTGGGCAACAGATGCCTCCACTAGATCTAGAAAATAGGAGAAAACCAACAGAACAGGGGCCCAACAGAAAAGGGACTGGAAAGTGTGAAGTGCTAGAAAGATGGGGTCTTTGTTTTGACTTAGTTTATTGGGCATTTTTTTCAAAGAGGGTCAGTTCTTCATTCTGCATGTGGTAGACTGGCTTAACCACTTGTCTGGGGAGTGGGCAGAGAGCCCTGCTGTTGGGGTTAAGCAAGGATGGGCTTGATTCAGGATGAAGGTTTCATGGGACAGATGTGTGGTACAGCGCTGAATCTGCAGCTTGGGCAGCCTGTGTCCCAGATCAGAGTACCTGGTTGGAGTACCACTCCACTTCTAATTTCAGCTATTGCGAATGCTCACCCTGGGAGGCAGCAGGTGATAGCTCAAGCAGTTGGGTCCCTGCCACCCACGCAGGAGATGTGGATTGAATTCCTGGTTCTTAGCTTTGGCCTGGATCAACCCTGTATATGGCCAGCATTTGAGGAGTGGCCCAGGAGGGGGAAAAATCTATCTTTGCTTTTCAAATAAGTTAAAAAAAATAAATAAAACTTGTTTTAAAAAGCTGCAATTTTCGTGAATGAATGAGTGTATCAACTTACTAGAGTGCAGATCAATGTGTGCAACTAAAGAATGGAAGTATGTGTGCGTGTGTTACTACAGGAATGCACAGACAAATGAACTAACAAGCAAACTAAAGCCCCAGTCAATGTTTCAGAGCTAATCAGATTTTATTTTTTAAATAATCTGGTGTTTCAGAAAGGAGATCCAGATCCCCCTAGCCCCCTACTCCCGCCACCTTAGCTCAGCCCCAGCATCCTTCCAGAGGAGTCTGACCCATTCTCGGGGAATTCACTTATCCCTATCAAGGTCTGCTTACTCTGACAGAGAAGTTTCTCCTCACATCTTCCTGTTAGCTCTTGCTTCAAAGACACAGAGAAAGTCCTCAGAATAGATAGCAGCTTGGAGAGATGCATCCAGTCACCCTCCAGCCCATTCTTCTCCATCATCTGACATGTTATTCCCCACTGTCAAGGTCAAGCCCAATGTCATGCTGAGCTCAGCCATCACCCCACCTAACCAGAGGTCACCTCTGCCTCCCTGACACAATCACAGCCCTAACCTAAGCTTGCCTGTCTGCTCTCCTCTCTGCCAGTTCTAAGCATCACCCTTATTCTGAAGGAGACATCACAGAATTCAGCACTCCTTTCTCCCCTATCTCCTCTTCTCCCCACCACAAGAGACTCCCAGGACATGGGAGATACAAAGGTTTTGGAGAAGAACCAAAACTTGAGAATACAGTGAGCCAACAGCAAAGGTCTCTTGACTTTTCCCTAAGATTTGAGTCCCTCAGGTTGCTCCTGGTCACCCCCAAAGGGTAGAGCAGTACAGAGCAAGGACGGAACCTCAGAAGCTTCCTTTCCATTGTCACTAGTGACCAGCCCCTGCCTACTGCCTCCCAAGACCTCCCTCCCTGAGGCCAGGCTCCAGACAGCTCTGTTTTAGTTTTCCCTTGATGAATCCTCGCCATTCTGACCTCCAACCTAGAATCCTCTGCATGGCCACAAGCCTTCAAGGCCTATTCCTGCAGGTCTGCCCTGTCCCTCAAGGGCTCTCCATCGCTCCTTTCACATGTGTCCCACAAGTGTGCAGGGTCGGCATTTAGCCTCCACCACAGAGGAAGCTTCAAGGTTGATGGCCACATTTTTGCACCATTTTCCCTCACGGCTCAGTTGAACTCACAAAGTCAAGAAAGACCTGCTGTCCCTCAAGAGCAGGAGAGGCAGCTGGAAACACTGACCAATTAAATGCTTTCTCTCACTCACCCTGAAATTAATGTGCCTGCATCACACACATACATGCATACAAACCAAGGGCACTCCAGGGCATGGGACTGCCTGTGGGAATCTATGATACCTCCTGACCCTTGGCCATCAATCAATCACACAAAACCTGTATGTGCCCCACAGGATGGGCACAGGTGTTACACAGGTAAAAACACATACACTTACTGCATTGGAGGCTCTGACCCAGGCCTGAGTCTCCCCAACCAGCCTTTAGTGGGTGTTTTCCTCATCAGACTCCAGGGCTGTACCACAGCCCCATTACCTGGTGAGTAACAACCAATCAGAACCAGAAGTGAGGATAGGATGCCCAAAGTTCAACCCTCCTCCTCCTGGATGATCCACTGCCCACTAAATGTAAGCCAGACACTATTAAAAGTGCCAAGGTGGCCCACCACCCAGCATCCTTGTAGATTAACAACTCAGCCACACACAGAGCTTCTTAACCTTCCCAGTTTTATCTACAGACTGGTGCCTGCAGGATTTTAATCAAGAGCCAGCTGTGGGAGTACAAGAAAAAATAGAATGAGGACAGGGTGGTGGGGGGGAATGTGATGAGAGAAAGCAAGGGAAATGGCAGAGGAAGTCAGCGTTCAACATGTGTGTTGAGCCAAGAGGCACATGGTAATTCATTCACCACAGATTTATTGAGCATCTACTCCTGCTGAGCACTGAGCAGTGCCTGCAAGAACATACCAGCTTGGCCTCTGCTTCTTCAGCTATGGTGTTCAGTGTCTGTCCAGCAGAACCACTCAGAGAACTGTTTCAGAAACTTTTTCCTGGGCCCCTTCCTACCTATCCCATGAGAATCTCTCATGGATGCCTGTGAATCCGTATTTTAAGATCATCTTGCTAGATGAACACGACTGGCGTTTAGACCTTGCAGCCGATTTGCACGATGCCAGTCGAGTTCACTGCATATTGAGGATGGGTGGGGCGCACATCGCGAGCTCTGAGAACATGGAGGAGGGATTATACAGAAACACAGGGGAGTAGAATATAGATGAGCCACAGAAAGTCAGGGTTGGAAAAAAAAAAACCCTGCAATTCATTTTGTTCAGTTTCACAGATACAATAACAAGACCTGGAGCTAGTGAGAGGACAGAGGACCACAAGCAGAGGATACGAGAACATTCCACAGCAGGTGCAAAACAGCCTTACAGAGCTGCAAGTTCCAGATACATGGTGGACATGCAAACAATTAAAAAACAATAGCGGATAAAGGGATGATCAACAGATGGGTAGATGGGAGTTACTGCTAGGAAGAACAGCATGTAGCAAATAGGAAATATAAATTAACTAGTGTGGGGGAGTGGTTTAATAAAAGCAGACAGGAGTAGAGCGCTAGATCTAAAACAGCTACCTGTGAAGGACAGATTAGAGAGCTCTGAGCAGCAAATAGATCCAGATGGGAGAGATGCATAGTAGGTACCTGGTACAGGGAACGGACACTTGACAATCAGCCCATATGGTAAACGCCAAGAGGAAGCTAGAGGTCATTAGTTAATTCTATCATGTAGGTCCAAATAACAAGTTAAGAGGGCTACAGGAACAGCTGACAGCGGGGACTGGATGTGGCAGAAGGAGCACTGCACCAAGACAAAGAAGCTTCTTACATGCTAATTTTACCTATTCCCTGAGATAAAGGGAAGAGGGCCTGGGGACAGGAATGGATATTTAAGTTGATGTAAGGTGCCTTTAATCCTTCAACGACCGAATTCCTGGATGAGGAGGCAACCAGACTGGGAGAGGCTGAGTAACTCAGTCACCCAGGGTGGCACAGGCAGCGGGGCAGGGGAGCAATCCCGGGGAAAGTACCCCGGCTTGCCACCACAAGGGGCACCCTCAGACTCATCCCTCTAATGTTTGGGGAAATGCAGCTCATTTCCAGACAGGCAAGATTAGTCCCAGGTTTTGACAGCTGGGAAAGCTGGACTCAGGATAGTATTTAAATTTATGTTTGAAACACCTTATCCAAAAAGGAACAACAACAACAAAAAAAAAACCCGATCATCTCATTTCCTAACTGGCATTGTGAGGGGCTAATATTGACAAGCAGTTCAATTCAGTTTGGAAGAAAGTTAATTAAAAATGCTCTCCCTGAGATAAAAAAAATAAAAGTTTAAAAACAATGACATTGTTTCAACAAGATCTCATCTGTGGGTGGTGGGATTACAAATTGCTTTGTTTTCTTTCACTCCTGTAATTAAAATTTAATAAATATTACTTCTTAAACGAAGTTAATTATAAACACCACTCTAAGTTGACACCTTGCTTTAAACAATGATTTTTTAAAAACACTGTTGGCTGGGAAGGAGATGAGGGTGTTATCTTATTAACTTAATTTTAACACGCTTTTCTTTCAACGTTTTTAAAATTAACTCTTGTGTTCTGCATGCCGGTCCCCAGGCTGGCCATGAAAACAATCCCAAATGACAGGCGTCCTGCCGCCCAGCTGGGAGCCATGAGCTGGTTGCTACTTGGGGCATCAAACACCCACTGACAGAGAATGCCCAAAGGTCACCCCAGATCTGAGGTGGGAATCTCTGACCTCCAGGGACTGGGGTCTGGGCTCTCCCGTGAAGACTCTCTCTGTCCTAGCAGCTAAGAAGGGGGCCTAGTTGCTGTTGGGAAGGTGGTGGCAGGGGTCAGGCAAAAAGAGGAAAGGACTACACAAGGTGAGATGCCAGCGGGGTGGGAGCTGGCCAAGGCCGGCAAAGCCCACCCTGACTGCCCAAGCTGCCTCCGCCTCGGGCGCAGTGGCTGGACCTGCCACTGCAGCTCCGGCTGGACCAAGAGTCCAGGTGGTGCTGGCAGTCAGCGCTCTGATCTGTGAACCACAGTCCGGACCAACAGGCAAACCAAAAACTGCCTTGCTTTCATCTAATTATTTCAAAATATTTTGAAATATTTTCCCTTCAGTGATCAATGACAAAAATTCTGCACAGTGACTGTCATTCCCCCCGGTTCAAATCACTCCGACATCCTTCCCGATTTTCATGGCGACTGGGAGCAGTGCCCGGAGATCCAGAGCTCCCCCTCCCCAACACACACACTGCCCTGCCAAACCCTGGTGCCCTTGCACTAGGATTCTCAGCACCCTAGCAGCCCGCCTGCACGCAAGGGTCAGGGCACCCTGGACCAGCAGGGGTGAACCTCCCTAGCCCAGTACCTCTGCTTCGGATGCGGACAGCTTGGGACACCCGGGCTTTCTGCCCACCAACGGCACGCTGTAGCAGTCGGGCGGACTGGGACGGCAGCTTGGGGAAGGCCGTGTGAATGCTCCAAGGGTGGGGGAAGGGCGGCAAGCATCCCAGGTTGAGACTGACTGCTACCCCTGGTAATTTACAGCTTCTGGGCCGGGGGTGATGATAGTGGCTTGGGGGGGTTGGGAGCCCGACCCAGGTGTGCTGTGTGTTTACTCTGCCTCCGTTAGAGACCTCCCCATTGCAGTGAAGGGGCTCTAAGTATAAGCTTTGGCCAGCAACGGGAAGGAGCGGCTTAGGCTGGGTGCCCCTGCCGGGCAGGGCTAAGAAGTAAGAGTTTACCTGCGTTTCGGAGAGGCTGAGGCTGCCGGCTAGCTGCTTCCGCTCGGCGCCTACCACGTAGTGATTCTTCTCGAAGGCACGCTCCAGCCGCAGCAGCTGCGAGGGCGAGAAGGCCGTGCGGATCCGCTTGGGTTTGCGCGCGAAGGGGCCGTGTAGCAGCAGCCCGTCCTGGGGCACGTCGCTTGCTGCGGCCGCGTACAGACAGAGAGAAGCGACGCGTGAGCCGCTGGGGCGCTGGCCCGGCCGGCCCGCCTTCGGCCCCCGCAAGTGAGCGCTCCGCCACCTGCTTCAACCCCTGACAAGCCCTCCCCACCCTGACTGGTCCCCTTTCGCTGGGGCCTTCTGGCACTCCCCACGGCAGGCCACGGGAATTGCGGACTCTGCAGGGCAGGCACTCTTTCCGACGCAGAGGATCAGAAGAGGCCAATACGCGCTGGCAGGTGGCTTTTGGTTTTCTTGTGGACCCATTCCCAGCAGCGCTGCCTCCACCCCCAGCCTCAACCATTTGGTTTCAGCCCCAAGCATCTCCCCTCTGAACCCGGGGTTGAGAAAGGGCTGAGTGGCACGAAGGTGATAGAGGAAGGGGTGATGAGGAGGCTGTAAAGCGAGCTCAGCCCAAACACAGACCCCGGAGCTCGGATGGTCTCCAGGAGGTCTCCTGGCACACCCACTTCAACGTAACCTGCCTAAATGCTCAAGCTCCTGGCCCCTTGGCAATCCCTGCTCACCACCCAGGCTCCCTACGGTGAACCTGAGGTCAACTGAACAGGCAGCTCTGGGAGCCCTCACTTCTCTCCATCACCCACCACCCTAGGCTTTAGGCGATCTGGAGACCCACTCAGGGATAACCAGCAGTTCCCGATGACTTGCTGCTGCCTGGTGAGGCTTGCTACCTCCCTGAATGCGAGTGCATGAACATCTAGATGCCATCATTCTCCCTGATGAGTCAGAGGCACTGGTTTCTGCAGGGCACATGTGCTGCGATTTTAGTGTCACTGTCCCTTGACCAATGTTGCCTATCATGAGAACCCAACTCCCAGGCCGAGGTGGAGGGACTAACACCAGAGTGTTTGGGGTTGGGGTTAGGGGTCAGGAAAGACAGTCCCCACAACCTGGTCATTCTCCAGCTTGGTGGCTTGGGCTCAGAGTCAAACAGGCCCAGAGAGCATCACCCATTCTGTCTCATGAGGTGGCACCTAATGGTCTAGCCCATAACACAGAGCCCTAGTAGGGTGTTTCTACTGGTGATACTGATCCAATTCAGTCATTCCGTGATGGCCACTGATTTGATTCAGTCTGACTTGTTGGTTGGCTCTGAAGACAAGTATCTGGGTAATTTAGACGTGTTTTCCTATTGCTGCAGACTTTGAGGTAAGTAAAGCAGAGGTACCAGATTGAAGACTGAGATGCCGCTGTGAAAACTCTCCAGGTTAACTGTTGCTGTCCCTCTCCTGGAGGGAGTTGCCTAACCTTGGCCTTCTCCAAGCTCCCCAGACCTGAGATGCCCAAGCAGGCCAACTGCTTTACTGGGAATCTCTGCGGAACATGTCTGTCCATGCTGAAGAGGTGAGAGCTACCCCACTGTAGCCACCTCATCCATTCCAAGTGGCTGGGCCTGTGCTGCTGCAAGGGGGATGGGACCAACTCACAGAGAGGTGGAGGGGGGACAGCACTGGGCCTTGCAAGGTAGAAGCAGGCCCAGACCTGAGCCAGGAAAGAGAAGTTAACCTTAGGGTGGTGGAGAGGACAGGGGGCGAGAGAAGGTGTTCTGGGAGAGAGGTTAAGAGGTAGGAAATGCCAAAGGAAGAGGAGGAGGGGGAGGAATGTCCCTGGCGTGGGGAATGCTATGCTAACAGCCTAGGGAGAGGTGCAGGAGGAGAGTCGGAAGCCATGCTCCTGGTGGGTGTTGCAGTGAACTGCTTCATAAGGTGCCTTCCTCTGCACCCAGGTCAAGTCCCATCAGTGGTCTCTGTACAAATCAGAGGGTGAGAGAACGCCCAGTCCCAGCATTCCCTGGGCTCAGCCTCCACTGCTCCTGTGGTCTGAATCCAGGCTATGGGGGCAGAAGGCCCCCAGATGTGATGAGTAACGTGCAGAGGCATGCAGGGCACTGCGTGTCTCTTGTCTCTCGGGTGGCCACCAAGTGACTCTGGGGGGCTCTGTCAGTAACCAGTGTGGTAGAGCTGGGTGCTCTGTGTTTAAAAATCCAGGCTGGCAAGTTGAGGAGAAAGTCAGGCTGCTTGGGACCTACCCCCACTGAGGCTGGCCCCAGGTTACTCTAACTAATGTCCTGTTAGAGCAGGTAGCATGTGTCCCACACATGCTACAGGGTCCCTCCTAGTCCAAGCTCAAAGAAGTAGCAGAAGGATGAAAAACTATTCAAGATGCTGCGACAGTGACAGAATATTTGATTCCAAAAAGAGGCAGCACTTTCCTCTGTAGGAAAACGGGGCCGTTTCCTTCCAAACCGACCAGCCTGAATCAGTGCTCGGTGAGGACAAGGATTGTGCCTCAGGGGCCTGGGGTACAGCCTGTTTGAATGCACTATTGGTAGGCTGTGAGAAGGAGCTGTGGGCCATGGACTAGCTCAGATGAACAAGCAAAAAGGAACTGACATAGCCTTCCCTGAAACTGGGGACTGACCCCTCACTCCAGTTTTCTTGCTGGATCTCTTTGGGGTAACTTCGACACAACAGCTGGTAATCAGCGATGAATGGATGGAAGCTTCCAGGAACCAGCCGGCTGGAGGTGGGAGTCTGGGTTCGAAAGTGCTTAGGGCTTGAGCTGCGGAGGCTTCCCCAAGGCCAGGAGCTCAGAGCTGTAGGGCCCTGGGGCTAGGACAGGGAAAGTCTGGCTAGGCAGTAGAGATAACCATTCCCTGGAACAAAAGCCCTCTTTGAAGTACCCGATGGTTTTTCTCACAAGTATCTCAGAGAGCTGGTTTCCCACGGACCCCACTGAGGCTGCTCCCCTGCCCCGAAGGTTTCCGATCTCCAGGAAATAGCACCAAAATGCAGGTCTCCCAAGCAACCTGGGGTCCTGGCCATTCCGCGCTCCATTTTTCCTCCTCTAGAGCCTGGCGCCGCAAAGAAGCCGCTTCCCCGAGCGCGCTGGATTGCGCGCCGCGCACTGAGCTGACTTGTTCCGTTTCGTTCCTGTAGGGTTTCGTTTCTTGCATTAAAACCGGGCTAAAATGAGCATCGCAGAGACCCGGTTCTCTAGAAAACGCGGCGCCGGAGGGTCCGGGACCGCTCTGCTACCAGCAGTGAGGCTGAGAACCGGGACTAAAGTCGTGCAGCCGCTGCCCGGGCGCCAGAGTGTCTGCGGCATCTGAGTGCCGAAAACGTCCTGTAGTTTCCAACGGTTTTCTGGGTGCGAAAATGCCGCCACACGTGGCTCAGAGTCCAGACGCAGCTCTTGGTTCTCGAGAAGAAATCCAACCATTTGTGCAGCTCAAAATACGTACTCGCGGGAACTAATGGCTCTGGGAGCAGCAGCAGTTTGTGGGAGGGTTCTAGTGGAGAGTTGACGCAGCCTCGTCTAGCTCGGGATGCTCTGAGCCCAAGCGGGACCCCTCACCAGGCGCCCCCAGCCCTTGTGCCCTTGAGCCTTAGCAGGCGAGGCTGGAGGCATCCAGGCAGGAAGGGTTCTGTTCGATTCCAAGGCCGAAGGCGCCTCCCGGGAGGCTAGTGCGCTGCTGGATGGAAGCCTCGGGGCCCAGAATCTGCCCTGCTTGGCTCTCTGGGCCTCTGGTGCCCCACTCATCGCCTACCCGCAGGCCCTCGCAGACTGCAAAGTGGGAAATGCACCACTGAGCTCCAATTTGTCAGACCCCAGGCTGAGACAGGGGCTCCTGACTGGACAGGGTCATCAGCACAATTTTGAACCAACTCTAATTTTATCAGCAAACAGCGATTGTGAGAGACAGGAACTCTTGCTCAAAGCGGTTGACACATGTTAGGGTTTGTGCTTGTTTTCAGTTTGGGTTTGGGCAAATCTTCGAATTTTCTAAAGGAGAAAAATTCTTGTCACCTTTGGTTTCATAGGCTCAGCTCCTAGCCAGGTGGGACTGGGAAAAATCTGACAAATCAGGAGACACTGGATTTCTGTGAGACAGGCAACTGTATAGCCAGAACTCCAGAGGCAATTTTTCTTTTTACTACCCAAATAATTGCACCCTGCATCTAATTTACTTAGGCTGTGCCGACCTGGCTTGCTCAGATCAGCTGTAGGAGCTGAAGCTCAATCTCCCCTTTTTCTCATTTGTTTCACTAAAAGCAGGATTAGCCCGTTCTGAGCCATGAACACTCTCAGGCTCCAGTCCACACTGACAAAATAAAACTGGGAACTAAAGCAATTACTGCAAGATCAAGGCCAGTCTTCAGAAAGAAAGAAAGAAAAACAAACTTCAACAAAATCAGGAAAGAAAACGAACTCCAACAAATCCGACTGTCTTTTCTTTGGGAAACTCAGATAATTGGGGTGTTGTGTGGGTTAGGCCAGTGGGGGATCTTAATTAGTAAGCCGATGGCCGGTACAGACTGAGGGCACCAAGACTGGCTAGGACCTTAAAAGCCCTCGGCCCCCGCCCCCTGCCCCCTGCCCCCTGCCCGAGAGGACTCTGGTCGGAACCCCTCCTCCCCGCTGCCCCCCGCAGCCCAGTGGGCTCCCGAAGGCTGCGCAGAAAGCCGCCCCGCTCGCTGCAAACCTTCCGCACCCTGGGTTTCGGAGGCACGTGGGATCCGGAGGAGTCGGGCCAACATCCTGGGCAGAGCACGCCACACGGAACATTAACTCTCCAGCTTGCCCTCCCCGCTGTCCCTGCAGCCTCACCGAGCCGGAGCACGCGGGTGGACTTTCCCCTGCTCTGACGCGCTAAGCGAGGTCCGATGCCTGCGAGTTGGTGGCGGACGTGCGAGCGAAGCATGGTCCCGGTTCAAGCCAGAACGGAGGCAAAGCAGCGGGCGCTGCGCTCTCGGGGCCGGGACAGTCTCACTCCGGAGAGGGGAAGGGAAAGCAGGCCGCGGGGGAAGGGGGCCGGAGGGACTCCGAGGACGCGCCTAGACTTGGCGTCCACACTGGCTTCTTTCGTGGGGGAAACCTAGGCGTCCCCACCTGGCGCTCCGCCCCAGGCCAACGAGGCAGAAGCGCGCGCAGGCTGATCGGCTGGGGCGTTTCTCTCGGTTTTGGGAATCGATTTTGGCGGAGCCGCTACCTTCTCCGCAACAACTTGAGAACAGCCTCGCGTGCCCCCGAACCTCCCTCCCTCGTCCCCGCGGCAAGGGAGCCGGCCAGCCACCACGGCGGGCACAGCGTGCGCACTCACCCTGGAAGCGGTGGCCGAAGAAGCGGTTCCGCAGGACCCAGGGATAGAAGTGGAGAGGGTCCCGGTGCTGGGCGCCGAAGAAGGAGTGTGGGGGCTGCAGCGGGGAGGCACCCAGCTGGTGAGCAGGGTGCACGGTCAGCGCGGGGTGGTTCATGGCCTCGGGAAACACGAGCTCCGGTCCTCCGTAGAGCGAGCGGCCGGCACCCGCGGCAGCTGCGGCAGGGAAGCCGCTCACGAAGGCCGCCTCGGCCGCACCGGGGTGAGGGTAGTTGAGCGCCGTGGGCCGAAGCGGTTCCTCCGAGGAGGCAGCCGCCAGGGGATGGGAACCCGTGCCCCCGCCGCCGGTGCCGCCGTCCTTGGCCACCAAGGACTCTATAGTAAAGCCTCGTTTGGCCGCGGGCTGGAACATGGTCGCGGGCTCCGGAGCCGTGCGAGGCGGCCGGGCTCCAGGGAGCGCTCCGCGTCCTGGCGCTGCCGCCGTGCGGGGTGTGCACCCAGCCAGGCACATGCACACACACCCGCACCAGTCACCTCCCCCGCCCGCCCGTCCGCCCGCGCTCGGCCCCCGCCTGCGAATCGGGCGCGGAGCGGCCAGGGGTGTGCTGGCGAGCGAGCGAGAGAGCGAGCGCCGAGTGGGGCCACCGCGCACAGCCCGGAGCGTCGGCCCCTGAGGCCGTGCGGGCAGCTCCCGGCGGCGATCCCGGAACGGGCTCGCTCCGAAGCCTCGAGCCGCGTCTAAGACCGGAGGGTTCGGCGCTGCTCTCTGCCTTCCAAAACGCGCCAGGACCGACCCCCGCCCTCGGTCCTTCCGGTACTGCCCAGCCCGGCCTCGGCCGCCGCGCCGCGATGCGCGAGTTAGCCGGCACCTGCCCCACACTCGCCCATTGGCCGCCGCTCACCTGCCCCAAGGTGGGGGGCGGGGCTGGGCGGGGCGAGGGACCACGGGTGGGGATGGAGCCGGCAGTCGGAGGCAAAAGCCGGACTGGAGCCTCGGCGGGGCAATCCAGCCGCCGCCGCTTCCCCCGACACACACACACACGCACCCTCACGCGCGCACACACACACACCACACACACACACACACACACACACACACACACACACACACACACACCACACACACACACACACACACACCCTCCAAACCCCTCGCTAGGTTTCTGGAGACCCCTCAGTGGCGAAAGGGCCCGGGTTTGCGGGTGACACTCCAACCTCCCCCCACGCCCGGGGTGTAACTGACTTGAGCCTCATCCCGGTCAGACGAGAATTTGGCTGTGAGCGTCCGGTGGGTGTGTGAGGTCCAACAAAAAGCTCCTCCCGAGACTCCGCTCCCTGCGCCCTGAGCTCCGGCCCCTCCCGCTCACGAGCCGCGCTGTCCCGAGTCCCACACGCCACGAAGCTGTGACCCTGCTCCCGAGGTTTCTTGCTCTCCTGCATGTCTTGGTGACAGCTCCAGAAGGGAGGGCGCTCGCCTCCTCCGAGCGCGCAGGCGGGGAGCAGCGTCCTGGCGGTCGCCCGCAGCCCTCCTTCCACGACGTGGCGGCGCGCTTGGTCCTGGATGCTGGCCTCAGCGCTTGAGCTTTCTGCCTCCTCGCCTCCTCTGGCCGAGGCACTCCAGCGATCGTTTGGTCGGACCGGCCTGGGGACCTTGTGCTTTAATTTGAAGCTGGCAAAGCAGCCTGAGCCGGTGCTCCAGGGGTCCCGAAACCGCGACAGCCGTCTGGCCTCTCCGACCTTTGCCGTCTCCACCCTTGGCCAAGTGCGCCACGACCGGTCTCCGTGCGGTGCACTGATTCCCGGAGGAGGAAACGGGAGGCAGACGGCAAGAACAGCAACGCTGCAAACTTTTCCACCTGGACCTTCCACGCTACAGGAAAACACTTGGCCACTAGGCCTAGTGCTGGCCGGTGGTGGGCAAGTTGGGCCTCGGACTTTGGCCAGGGCAGTTTGGAGAGGGGGACTTAGTGAGTTCCGCTGTTGCTGCCGAGGTCAACAGGAGGGGCCTAAGCACTGCCCCACTGCCCGGGCACGAGGTCCGGGCTGGGCCTCCCGATGCTCCAGTGCCAGGAGGTCCGAGCGCCGCGCAACTCTGCGGGGACTCCAGGCCAGGTCTTGGCAGCGGCCAGCCCGTTCGCCAAGAGACTTGGTCCGGGCGAGCGCTCCGGGCGCCCTCGCAGCCACAAAGCGGGTTAAAGTCTATTTTCCACTCGACTGCTCCGAAAAGCCTCCCCGCGCCGACGCCGCTGTTCCAGCCCCCTTGGGCGAGCTGGAAGGGGGTGGCTAGTGGAAGGAACGACCTGCGGTCCACACCTTACAGCCCTTCGCGTTCGGGACAATCCCAGGCTGGGCATCACCGAGGCGCCGCCTGCAATGCCTTCGAAAGGAATTTTTACCCATTTTGTGGGGAGTGACCGCGCCTTTCCAGATCATTCCGGCTGCTTTCGTCTCTCCCTCCTCTTGATTTTGTCTTAGGCTCTCTATGTCCCCTCATCCTGCCCCACTTTGCCTCCCTGCTCCCCCCTTCATTCCCTTATTTATTCCCCCTCCTCTTTGCCCACCTCTCAGACAATCCCCCTCCCACTCCGCACCACTATACGAGCCAGTCGCAAAACGGAGAGCCTGGGAGGTGAAGCGATTTTGTGTACAAGATCCCCGATGACACTGAAGTTCCAGGTGGATAAGCAGGGAACGGGCCTGTGCTCCAGCCCTGCTCTGGGGACTGCGACCAGGATGCAGAGGCCCTCAGCAATTGAACTGGTCCCAGGTCCTGGTGCCCTAGCCCAGAGACAATCCCATTTGGCCGGTAGCAGTCCTTGCCTCCTCCCAGTACCGAGGTAGCTGCGCTGGGCCGCTAACCAACTGAACTGGACAAGCAGATGAGCTAGGCATCCACCGGCCATTCTTAGATTTTGGTCTGCCCTGGCTACGTCCAGTTTCCTACATATGGCTCTACGTGCGTGTGACCGTATCCAAATCGATTGAGTTTTGTGACAACACCCTCTCTGTGTGCTTTCCAAACACGTGCACACCCATATGTCTCATTTGCCCCATTTTACAGATGCGGAAACAGAGGATCCGTCAGATTCTCAGGTCACGTCTGAAGTGAGCAGGGATAACTCAGGGGTCCTGCGTTCACGCACCCATCCACTCCCGTTCCACCCTCTCAACACAGCTCATGGGATCCTGGGGTTCTCTGAGTGCCAGGAGGTAGGTTTACGACCTCTCCCCAGACCATTTTTAAATATGTTGAAATATTTATGTGTCATTGGCTAGGGCCAGGAGCAGGGGGCTGCACCAGGACCCCTACTGGCTCTCTGATTTGGGATGCTGGCATCACAGACAGCAGCCTTCCCTGCCTCCACGCAAGGCGGGCTGTTCCACAGCTCCTTTCTCGTGATTACCTCATTTCCTTCTTTCTCTGATAACTAACCCTTGTCTGATCTCCTCTGTCCCTGCTCCCCAGAGGGTCTCCAGTGCCTGCTCCCTGCACAAGGTTGAGAGTTGCCCCCCAAGGAGGTCGTGAAATTCTGCTGGTGTTCTGGGCTCCACCTGTTTCCTTCTCTTTCTTCTCTATTTCTCCCAGGCTGTCGCACCTTTCCCTCTAGCACACCTCCCTTATCCTCCTCCCCACTGCTGATCTTAACCAAAACCCTCCTGTCTTCAACTGGCTCAGCTGTCCAAGCTGGCCAAAACCCTGCTGCCCCTTCCCCCACCTTCTTCCCCTGCACCCCACTCCTCCCATCACTGAACGCCTCTGAGCTCTGCCAAGGACTGGAGGTTAAATCAGGTCTTTTCCCCTCTGGAGTACCCACCTGTCTGCAGCCTGCTGACCCGGATGCCACACCTGTCCAGCACCGCTCTACCCCCTGCCCCACCTGCGCAGTCCGATGCTTGCTTCAATTTCTGTGCAGGTGCAGGATGCTCACAGCCTGCATCACCCGTCCACATCCACTCTTCTTCCTCTCCTTTCTTCCCTGGAATGACCTGGGCTCAAATCCTGACTCATCCATTTACTGCTGGTGAGACCTGGGGCTGGTGAGAGGATCTTGTTTTAGCTTGCACATCTGTCTGTGAGGAATAAACAAGATACTGTATATTGAATACACCCCATCTTTGGAGTTCTACAATTTCATCTTCCTTTCCTCTTTGCCCTACTTTCACTCTCATAACTCCCTGCCCCACAAGAAATTTTTCATCCTTATGTTTCCCTCCATTTGTTAATGTTTTTCCTGCCATCAAATTTCTTGAGTAACTTGTGATCTCTCTCTAACTCGCTTCCCTCAACAAAATAAACCTTAGAAGCAGACTTGTAGCCTGTCACGTTAGGAAAAGGGTTTACAAAGGTTCCAAAACTTTGCTTATGGTGTACAGTAGGAGTTGCCTGGGCTATGATGCTCACATAAGCACAGCAGTCTGCTTGAGTTATAGGGAGATTGAACAAGTGCTAATTCCCACATGATGAGCTTCAAGCAGTGTGCAGCACATCAGAAGCCGTTGACGAATGTTAATTGTGATCATTATCTTGTAAAGCTACATGGCCCAGTATAGAAGCCACTAGCCACCTGGGACACTTAAAGGTAGGCGGCACACATGGAGATATTCTGTGGATGTAAATACACACCACACTTAGTGTAAAGTGGGCTTGATGGTTTTTTAAAGTATTTATTTATTTGAAAATCTGAATTATGTAAAGAGGAAAGAGAGAGAGTGTGTGTTCGTTCTTCATCTACTGGTTCACTCCTCAGATGGTTGTAACAGTTGGGGCTAGACCAGGTCAAACCAGGAGCCAGGAGCTTCATTTGGGTTTCCCACTCGGGTTGCAGGGACCCAAGTTCGTGGGCTATTCTCCTCTGCCTTCCCAGGCCATTAGCAGAGAGCTGGACCAAAAGTGGAGCAACTGGGACTTGAATAGGTGCCCATAAGGAAAGCTGACATTGTAGTCGGCAGCTTTACATGCTATGCCACATTACCAGCCCCAGACTATTGTTTTGATTAAAGTTAGTAAAATATAGTATTTTCTATGTTGACTGCCTATTGCGATTAATGTAATTAAGATTCATTTGAACCTATTTCTTTTTCTCTCTTTTTACAAAAGATTTATTTATTTTTATTGCAAAGTCAGATTTACAGAGAGAGACAGAAAGATCTTCCATCCACTGGTTCATTCCCCAAGTGGTTGCAACGGCCAGAGCTGAGCTGATCCAAGTCAGAAGCCAGGAGCTTCTATCCGTGTGCAGGGTCCCAAGGTTTTGGTTGTCTTCTACTGTTTTTCCAAGGCTACAAGCAGAGAACTGGATGAGAAATGAAACAGCCAGGATGTAAACCAAAGCCCATATAAGATCCTGGTAAGACAAGGACTTTAGCCACTAGGTTACCACACGAGGCCCTCTTTTTCTCTTAAAAAATATTTTTATTTGAAAGGCAGAGAGAAGATAGGCTTCCACTCATTGATTCACTGCCCAAATGCCCACAACAGCCCTGTTCAAAACTGGGAGCTAGGAACTTAAT